ATACCCCATTGCCAGAGGCAGTCAGCTGTAAGGGCAAATAAGGGAAGTAGGGCTCCTTCAGACAAACAGAAAGCCGCTTCACTAGTTTCTAAGGAACGCTGATTTCAGAGTTTTGATTGTCTATCATCTGTTTATCACTCAGAGTCCAGCCTGAGCTGAGCCTAAGCTGCACTTTAGACTTTGTCAATGGCATTCTCATTTTGGTCACACTTTGGAAGCAGAAGATACCTTTGTCTCAGAACACTAATACAAAGCAGGGAATTTATTAGTTTCACCTAAGGACATTTTTAATTGTGCATTCTACCTGACTCTGGTATCTTTAAAAAATATCAGGAGCCTCTACTTTAACAGCATCATTACAGGATATAAGAACTTTATCCATATTCTTTCCCTGTTCACCTTTACTTTTAATATTTGAACATGTACGCAAAGATTTTGTACTATTGCTACCTTAAAGTTATGTAATTCTAGTGCTTCCATAAATCCAGTGAGATAAATCAGATTTAATTATTCCTACTTGGTAAATGCTATAAGGGTATCAGATTGACTTAGCTTAGGTCACACGGACTCTGGGTGACAAAGATGAAAAGAAAATACAGGTCTCTTGCATTCCTGGTTTCACTCTAATACCAAATGTGGCATCACCACCTATCTTCTTGTGAGAAGGGCAAATGAATTCCAGGGGTGAGGTAGGGGTGTCAAGGGGTGGGGGGGGTGTACGTGAGCGCACACGCAGGCACATGCACACGTGTTATGTTGATGGATTTTGTCCATCTCAGTTTGTCACATTTGTTACATCAAAACACGTTCTTTTAAAAACCAAATGAGGGTCATGTGTTTGCTACACAAGCATGAGGCTCTGGGTTCGATCCCCACAACACATATGGCAAAACAACAGCCTGAACGTTAAGCATGACCCACTCCCAAGACTAAGTGGGCAACGCACACTGGACTAGATGGAGAAAGAAAAAAAGACAACAACATCTCAAAGGCAGATGGGAAGGAATGGGAGAATGGAAAGGGTGGTTATGCAAGGAGATGGGGAAGGAAGGGTGAATATATTCAAAACACAATAAATCAAATTCTCAAAGACACAATCAGTAAAAAGTACTGGGTTCTTTGTTTTGCTTTCTTTTGCATGTTTTGTTTAAAACCCAGCATGGTAGCACATAATTATAACCCCAGCTCTGCGGAAGCAAAGACAAGCAAATTCCTGGGGCTTCCTGGTCAGTCAGCATAGCCCAGTTGGTGAGACCCAGCCCAGAAAGAGAACCTGTCTCCAGAAAAAAAAAATAGGTGGACAGAGCCGAGAAACAAAACCTGAGGTTATCCTGTGACTTTTCTCAAGCATGCACACAAGAACAGAAACACATACACACACAAAAAACTCAAATGACCTACTAATAATTCAGCCTTTTACTAGAAATTTGACCAGTGACCCCAAAGTATGAAAGTCTCCAAACTAGCATAGTTTAACTTCACCCCTAACTGCAAACTGAAAAATAATAAGATCCCATTTTCTACAAGGGCAAACACAGGTGACGCAGTTGAATTTATAGCACCCTAACAACAAAGCCAGTTTTCATGTAACCTTGAAACACTCAAGGGCAAATCTCAGTTTTATTATTAATAGACCAGGGATTCTCAGCTCAATAAAGTGAATCAAATAAAACATAGTCTAATGTCATAACATTCATAACAAATTTTAAAGTGTTTCTCATATTTTCAAATAATTTGTTCTATCTAAAGAAAGAATATCTTCCATCCAGCCCTTTATTTATACCAGGTAGCTTCATCAGACATATTCTTCATAGATTTTTTTTCTACCTGTAAGCTGCCACAAGGCTCCTTGCCTGTCACAGTCAAATATACAATTACCTAAGCTTGTCTCCCTACTGACCTTATGCTTCTAAGAACAAATTTTATTAGAAATGGGCTAGTATTTGATAAGCTGTCACATGAATTGTGGGCTTACTCAAAAGAGATATATTCTTGGAAATGCATGTGTCAGAACCTGGGAACACGTCTCACTTAGTACCTGTGACTCCTCCCAGCACTTGTCACCTGGCCTCCTACCCTAAACCCAGGTTCTCTTTCCTATATAACCTCGACCACTTTAGCCATGGGTACTCTTGGTTCTTCTCTCTTGGTCTCTTAGCTCCTAGATGGCTTGCTCTTGGCCTCTTTGCCCTCTCTCCTCTCTCTTCATCTGTTTTTTCCTTTCTTTCTCTCTCTGTCTCTTTGTCTCTGTGTCTGTCTCTCTGTCTCTCTGTCTCTGTCTCTGTCTCTGTCTCTGTCTCTCTGTCTCTGTCTCTGTCTCTGTCTCTGTCTCTCTCTCTCTCTCTCTCTCTCTCTCTCTCTCTCTCTCTCTCTCTCTCTCTCTCTCTCTCTCTTTCTTTTCCTCTCCTCCCATGGCCCTGTTCAGTCTGAACCCTTACAGACCAGATGCCTCTGGCTGAACTCTCTAGTTTCTACAATAAAACCCTTCTGCTCAACCATTCCCAGGAGTAGTCAGGAGTAGTCAGGCCCTCATTTTCATTAAGTATGTGCTTTCTTTTTTCTTCCTTGAGTTGGAATGTTACAAGTATACCTGACTACCTACCATAGCATTTTAGATATAACAAGGGTATGATCTTTCTGTAAAAAGTGCACCTACTACACACTGGTTAATAACAAAGTTACTCATCTTAGGAAAGAAAAGAAATGGAATCAACTTGATGAGTAAAGCTCAGTCAGAGAAGAAGGACAGAGGTCCATGGACTAGAAAGTTTGATAATAGTAAAAATCAGAAAAGTTCCTAACTTTTCCAGGGAATCATTCCAATACAGTACAGTAGTCTTCATCAATGCTTTAGTTTATTGACAGTGTCTGTCTCTATATTTTATTTGTTTATATTTTCTGTCAGAATATCTTTTTCCTTTTTCTTATTTAAATTAGAAACAAGCTTGCTTATTTTAAGACATGGACAGGGTTTCTCCATGTAGCCCTGGCTTACCTGGAACTCATGATGTAGACCAAAATGTCTCTGTATTTTAAATGAATACTTAAAAGCAAATTGGGCAAATAAAAATTTCCAATCCTTCATTAAAAGGTGAAAGACCAGTAATGACTTCAGAAAGTGTTTTTCAAAACAGACTCTTCTAAAGGAACACACAAATATCATTCATGTATTTAGCTATTCCCGAATGAACAGATTTCAGAGAGTTAAAACCTGGACTGAAAGTAAAAATGACACCGGACCAACCACAGCTTCCACCACGAGAGTCTTTATACTGTTATTTGTTTTTTATTTTTGTTATTTTGGTGTGTGTTTTTTTTTTTGCTTGCTTGATTGCTTTTATTTTTATTTTATTTTTTCTTTTAAATTTTGTTTTCTTTGTTTGCTTTGTTCGGTTTTTGGTTTTTCTTTTAAACTTTGCTTTGTTTTGGGAGGGAGGTTGCAAAGGGAAGGGCAGGCTGGGGTGAGGGGAGATGGGTGGGGTTGGGGATAAGTAATGTGAAATCCTAAAAGAAACAATAAAAGTCTGAGTGATTTTTAAAACCATGCATTGAAATCTAAATTCAAACGAAAATAATGTTACAATCTTTTCAGGGGCCTGGGTTAAAGCCATGGTGCTGCATAAGCCAGGTTGGTGGCCCCTGCCTCTAATATAAGCATTCAGGAAGTACAGACAGAAGGATCAAAACTTCAAGGTCATCCTCAGCTACTCAGCAAGTTGGAGATCAGCCTGGACGACATGACAGCCAATGAAAAACTGTATCTAAACATATGTATTTTGTTTTATCTTGAGAGCAGACTTTTTAAATTTACTTACAAGTTAGTGATGCTGTTATTTCAACACATAGCAAGGTGCCTGCAATGCATCGCTGTCATCATGACCATCTTTACATCCTCAAAGCATCCATGGTAAATGCTCAGTATGCACAAAGAAGTTCGGTCTGTCAGCAGTTCACTCATTCTGAACCAAGCTCACAGCATTCAGGGAAAACCCAGACTTCTAATGTATTAGTATTCCTGAGGAAAACTAAGGACCAGAGTATTTGTGCTGATTCATCATACCACTAAATACAAATCTACCTACACATTGGGAACTTTATTTACGTATTTATCAACTTTTATAGTCATTGTTGTCTCTACATTTTTCTTTTTATTGTTTTTACTGTTACTGTTTTCCTGTCCAAATGGACATTGAACTGCCTGAAGACAAGAAACAGGTGTTTTTATTTCTCTGCCCTATTACGTTCCTTGAGTGAATGAATTCGGTGAGGCCTGAAGCAACTTGGCATACTATCAATCACAAAAGCCATGAAAATAAAAATGTGAGAAGAAAACACTGAAATGATCCAACTCTTACTTAGTTTTCAATGACTCAGAATTGCTGAAAATGAATGAAACCACAAGCCTCTGTAGGGTTACACCTAATTACAAATCAGTCGATCATGAGATGCAGCCACTGAAGGTTCCCTTTCAAATAAATTTCTGCTTGTAGTATAAACGACTAGGACAGAGATGTATGAGAAGAGAAATGTATTTCACTTCATCATTTCACTGAATCTCTAACATAATCTCAAAACCTGCAGCATCAAATACAGTAAACCTTTAGAGCCGATTTGAAGCCATAGGCTTGTAAACTGGTTTGGTCTGTGAACCTTGCTTGCATTATGAAGCAATGTGTCCTGTAGCCAAACAATATTAGGCTCCTGATCACCCTGCCTCCACCTCTCAAGTGTTGGGATGAAAAGCATGCACTACCATACCCCACTGGTCCAAAGATTTAACTGTCTTAACAGAAGAACTCTAGGCAAGAATGTCGATTTCAAATTTAAACAAATACCCTTCTCTTTATCTAGTACTTCTTTTCATACACAACTTCATAAATCCCAAAGAAGCCTAAGGCATCACAATTACTTGAGCTCTGCACACCAGATGCCTTCCTACCATGAAATCAAGCAAGACACTTGATAATCAGTAGCTATCAAATAATTCACATAAATGCAGCTTTTGACCAAAAAAATGAAGATTATTTTTATTTACATGTGGCAAGAACTGACATTAATCTTGTAAAGTCATCATTGTGCTTTAAACTGTTTCTCTTTGTAAATTCAGGAAGTAAAAATACTCTAAAAGATTCTGTTTCCTGGTGCTCACTTTCAAACACTTGTCATCTACAATGTCCACTTTCAGCTCTGACATAGGCGAGATGCTCCTATTACAGGACTAGAGTGGTGCTTAAAAGGCATTTGCAGTTCACTGAACTGTATTATCTACAATATACAAGACTTGGCATATACTTAAATTATTGAAAATAAAGGACAGGGTGCGTTCTTCATGGTGCTTTCAGGCAGACATCAGAATCACTTCTCCCTAAAGAAAAAGATTAGCAAAAGTCAAGAGAGGTTCGTACAGTGTTAAAATGATAGTTTAACTCAAATTTGCAATATTCACCCCAATACTATGCCTTAAGCAGCTATAGTTTAAAATGCCACCATAAAGAATAAATTACTGGACAGGAAAGAAAGTTAGCTGCTTTCTAAATTGGAGTTCTATTTACATTTTGATGTCAAAGGCTAACTATTCATTAATTTAATTCACATTTGAGTCTAATTATCAATTTATGTCTGAGCCTGGTTCCCTATCCCCCAAATTATAAAAACTCAATTTATCATAAATACTAACTGTAGCAATCAAGGTACATCTTCTCACTCAAAACAAAATATTAACCTCTTTTCATGCAAGAATAGGGTCGTCAATTGGCTGGTGTACACTCTTTAGCTCAATATATTCACTAATAATAGCTTTGCTCAAGAGAATCATGACTGCCAGTAAAGCAACCAAGAGTGCTAATTTGATTTCCTTTGCTACTGTAAAATTTCATTCATTCATACACCATCAGCTCAGAAATCAGAATCACAGGAACTAGGCTACCATTAGCCTTTCTGTGCTGTAAAGACAAAGGAGGTTGTTTAGTAAGCAAACGGGAGCAGACGGTCCTCATATTTCCTGAACTATCCCATCTTTCTAATCATATGTGCATAGGTTACTGAAGCAAAATGGTACCAGGCACTACAAAAGGGACTAGGAAGAATAAGATAGAAATAAAGATACAGCCGGGCATTTGTGGCACACATCTTTAATCCCAGCACTCGGGAGGCAGAGGCAGGCGGATCTCTGTGAGTTTGAGGCCAGCCTGGTCTACAGAGCAAGTTCCAGGACAGCCTCCAAATCAAAACAAAGAAACCCTGTCTCGAAAAACCAAAAAGAAAGAGAGAGAGAGAAAGAGAGAAAGAGAGAGAGAGAGAGAGAGAGAGAGAGAGAGAGAGAAAGAAAGAAAGAAAGAAAGAAAGAAAGAAAGAAAGAAAGAAAGAAAGAAAGAAAGAAAGAAAGAAAGAGAAAAAAGAAAGAAAGATGAAAATATCCTGGCCTCATAGATTTTTTTGCAGTTTTATTGAAAGTGTATATTAGAGCATAGTACAGCCCTTTTGCATAGTTACCTCTCATCTGATTTGCTGGCTGCAGCTACCTCCTTGTTGAATTTTTCTTATGAATCTTCCTGCTTCTTATGTGGTCATGAATAGGTTGACCCCCTAACTCTAAGCTTCCCAAGTGTTTGAAAACTGAGCAGGAGTCCACACCTGTGGTACCTTGTGGACTCCTAGCCGAGGACTTCTCCACTGGATACTGCAGAGGTATTACAATGCCTTGATCTGGCTTCTGAAATGCTGAAATCAGATTCTTTATTTTCCTGAAAAATCTTTTGTGTACTCCAGGTGCTGTCTGGAAAATAAAAGACAAAAGAAGTCTTTATTTGCCCCACGATGCTAAAAAGAAAGACCTATAAGATGTTAGAGGGCTGCTCAGAGAGACAACATTTGTGTAACTTGCTCAAATATTTGAAAACATACAGAAATGAAAACAACATCCAGAAGAGCTTACTTTGCTTGGCTGAATTTCCTTGCAAGAGGAGCTAATGAGCTGTCATTGCAGTTCTCCCAAGGGTAGTACTAGTTTGTACAAGCTCTTGCTCACAGCTCTGCCCTTCCTGACTGTTACCCATCATACATCCCGAACCTCTAAGGATGTACAGGCCATTACCCACAATGAATTCACGAACAGAGGGAATGCAGTTAAACATTAAAAAAAAAGTACAGATACTACAGGTCATTAACAAAAAGCCCAAGGAACCAAAACAACAACCAACAGCCTGCCCCCTGTCCTCATTTTACAATATCAAAAACTACACAGAAAATTTAAAAAGCAACTGTTATGATACACACAACTGCATGGCTAGATGATGCATATACTCTTTTGCCTCGTAATACATACCGACTTACCCTTCGTGTTAATTTTGTGTTCTTTTCCCAAATTGTTTGCATAATCAGCCCTGCACCATGACAAGGTTTCCTATATGACATGAAACTGAAAGACTATAGAAGGTTATCTTATTTATGTATTTGTTCGTTTTTAAAGAGACCACATTTGCAGGTGGCTGTTAAAAATGTATTCTTTCCCTGACATCTGTGCTCTCACAAAGACACTGCCTGAAATCAACATTCCCCACAAAGCTTATGAGCTGAGCTTTAGACATCCGCTCAAAACTGTCATTTTACATAAAATAAAATAGTATTGCCATGAGCAACTGAACATTAACTAGTCTTGCTTTTTTCTTTCTATTTTTTAGAAAGTTGTAGATTTTTGAGATGGGAACTGATTGGTTTTTAGCATTTGAGGAGAAAACATGTGGACTGGCACACAGACTTCTGTCAACTAGACTTTAAACTTCAGATAACAGACTATCCAAAGTTACTCTTGGTCATTGCCTACTTTGGAGTGAGTTTTCCAGTACAAACACAAGGCAGATGTTCTCTTAAGCTGTAATTTAGTGTTCACCTATACGGTGTCAACAGACAGAAAATGGTCTCCCAACCATCTCTATCCTTGTGATTAGAAGACCTTCCTAAATTTCTGTTGAGGCTTCATCTAAAAATAGCATGGCCATTCTCACAGAGACCCGAATAGCTCTTTGGCTTAAAGACAAACCCTGCAAATTACAAAGGCATGCAAATGGGTACAAAATACCTCCTTAGTCCTTCTTTAGGGAATGTTTTGATTTTTCAAAACACTTTCCCATCTCTAGTCTTCACTATTTCCTCATGGATTGATAGATATTGATTCTTTCCATTATTCTCATTTCACAGATACAAAAATGTAACCTTTCATCTTGCATTGAAGTACATTAATAAGCAGGTGCGAGGTCTCACATAAATCAGAAGCAGCAGAATTGTTTCTGCATTCCTTTCAGATTAAGACTAGACCAAGAAGTTTCGAGTGAAGCTGAAGTCACCCGCTAAAGGAGAAACTGCGTATTTCCCCAGAGGGGAATCATTTCAAACCACACTTCATTTCAGCTGTTTCTTGTGGCTTACAAAATTATTTTCAACAGAGGCATCATTTCTATGAGGACTGGTAGTTAACACTTGATTATCCATGCTGACAGAGAAGACGAATACCACTGGACATAGAGAAGCAATTTGAACATGAGAGGTAGCATTTCTTTTGCAAATGACTGACCTAGTTTATGATGCTATGCTTAGGTTAATAAGCAATTCACTTACTAGCTAAGGATATCCTGGTGACCAACTACCCAGAAAGGCACAGAAATTGGCAGCAAGAGAGAGAACAGTACACTTTTGACAATGAATTGCTGAAAATCTATACTTAATAAATGATAATCAACACCTCATCACAACTTTAGCCTCCAAGGACTAAGTTAATGTCCTCAGTAATGCTCTACCTAAAATGAAAAAGATGAATATTTGTCTTTCATAATCCAATAGATTCAAAGTTCAATTTAAAATCACATCTTAAAACATATCATAAACTTACATAAGGACACAGGATAGAATGTTCCTGACATGACCTTTTCTTATGGTGTGGCAAACTAAAACGGTTTTCCTGAAAATAGTACAAATGCCACTTACCCCATTTTCGAAAGACATTTATCACACACAAAAAAGCATCACTGCCACTACCCTGTCAGTGAATTCAGTTCTTGTTCAAATTTGAGCATTTCCCACACTGCCATCACTTAATTATCCATGGAAATATGTTTTGAATCACAGATGATCTTCAATACAATCTGAGGAACTTTCTTCCAGCCAGGTGGTATGAGCTCTGAGAGTTATGCACTAGTTTTATATTCACCTTAACAAGAAGGCAAATCTTGTGGACAGAAAAAAAATGCAATATGCATTTCATGAAACAAACATGTTACCTCTTTCCCATTTGGGGATAATCCATGCCAATCTTCTGCTCTCATGGTGCAAATAATTACAATATTATTATATAAGGAGGGTTAAATTACATAACAGAATAAGGAATATTTATACTCAATAAACCCCCTTCTTAAAACGATTCCAAATAGGTAATGATGTGATATGATGTTATATGTGAAATGACAGAAAACAGATTATTGAGGGATCTTTGAGGAAGGAAAATGAAAAGAGTGTAAAGCAGTGGATAATTACAAGGAAACAATGTCTTCCAGATACAGCAGGACAGTTTCACATATGAACTCACAGTGGTTATGACAACATGCACAAGACCTGTGCAACCTAAGTCAGATCAAATCCAAGCTTGAAGAGAGGAGGTGTGCACAAATTCCCACTTCTGGCAAGGAGCTACTGGCAATTGATAGCTACCAGGAGAAGAAAAGACAACTTTCTTTAAAAGAATAGACCCTGGTAAATCAATCGTGCTTCTGAAGAAGACCGCGCATCCAAGAATATTTGGACAGCACAAATTGAGATGACAGATTTAGCAAAAAAGAGTACACAAAATTGCATGGACTGGGAGGGAGGAATGGATCTTGGAGGACAAGGGTAAATATGATCAAAACATATTGTGCAAAATTCTCAAAGAGATAATTTTTTAAATCACAAAAATATCAAAGATTTTTTTCCATAAACATACTTTTATTACTCAGCTGAAGGATATTTCTTGAGGGAAGAGGATTATTTGTGACCAACCCATACATGAATTCACATATATCAGCTACACATAACTATTCTTCACAATAAATCAAATTGCTTATTTATTTCCAGTGATAGATTTTTATGTAATATAGTTTTGTTTACAAGTGGTACTGATTTTTCCTTATATAGTATCACAGTATTAATTATCCTGACATAAAGTAACAATGTGATCAGAGAGGGATATATATATATCATACCGAAGAGCATAATCAAAGCACATTATATACTAGTCCTATGAAACACATTCCTATGTACAGTGAATATATGGCAATAAAAACAAAATTAGTTGGGGATATTTCTCAGTGGTATAGCACTTGCCTGGTATGCATGAGACCCTGGGTTTCAACCCTAATCCTATTTTTTAAAATCCTAAAAGTTAAAGGCAAAACTTAAAATATAAAATTAACCAATTTTTAAGATAACAATGTACTTGAATATATTCTAATTCATTTCCACAAGTTAAAGGCAAAACTTAAAATATAAAATTAACCAATTTTTAAGATAACAATGTACTTGAATATATTCTAATTCATTTCCACAATTTAAATGCTTGTAATTTATACTTTGCTTTTTACTGATTAATTTGTAAGACATTTTAAATTGTCTAGCCTTTATAATGCCTTAAATACACAGATTAATTCATTATTAACTAATTAATAGATGTTTATATTAACATCTATGCTTCCAAACGATCATAGTGAAGTACTTCTACTGTTAGAATGGACTATTATAAAGTCAGAAACCACCTGAAGCATATGCTACAATTGTGGAATGATTAAGTGGCTCATAAGATGAGTTATTCTATGCTACTTTCTACTATGCTCTGTAGAAAGATTTCACTCATTCCTTGAACTGACACAGTGACACTCAAATATTTTCAAAGCCACACTAAATCTTTGTTCTGAATAAATCTTACTAAAACTCCCAATTTATAGGTAAACTAAAGAGAACTTCACAATTGAAGCCAGATAGGTGCCCAGAAATACACCCCCTCGCCTATTCCTTTCCTGCAACCCCCTTTCCAGGGAGTCCTAAGATAGAAGAGAACTGCAATTTCTGAAAACATCCCTTTAAAACATTGCAATATCAGGTCAGAATTTGTTGTGCATGCATGTATGAAACTTTCAAAGAACATTTTTATTAAATTAAAAACTGCAATTTTCCCTCTTCTCTATCTGCATTATCCAGAGGCCTCTTCTGAGAGACTTGCCTGTGCACACAGGGCAGCATCAATTACCTGGATGCTTGGAAATGCCTCTATCTTTGAACTCTTATGCTTGGTAACTTAGTACTGGACTATACACAATCATATTGCTGAGCAGTTTTCAGTAGTTCATATTCTTGATGCTCACTCTACAGCTAAGAGCTTCATTGCTTGCATTATCTTACACTCCTTGAAATGAGTCCTCTGAGTAAATGTTTGTAGGCTCATTTTACAAATTGCTTCAATCAAAAGTAACTATAGGAAGAACCATGCGGAGCATGAATGCATTGGACACGGCCCAGGATCTCATGCTGCAATTTAATTCCCTGTTATATCTCCTAAAAGCTACTAGTGACTAATAGAAAATAGAAATCCCAGTTGGTTTGTTTTTATCCATAACAGCACCAAAGTCCATATCAATATCAGTGTGTGCTTTCTAAAAGTTTGTATAGGCACTGTAAGTAACTTAGACATGATCCTTCAAATTTCTCCATTCTCCATAGTGATACCATTCCACAAAGGTCTGGAACCAAAATTTTCTAAAGGATTATAAGTGAACCACCAACGACTATGGAAGTGAGCATTGACCATTTAAATATGATTAATATTTTGGTAATGTATGATATGACTTCTCTTTTTAAAAAACACTAAATTTCAAGCACTTTGATGATACCCAAAGAAGCAAAAATAAATAAAAGATCTTTACCTCAGCACTCCAAGAACCTGTTTCTGTCTGCGACACTCTATATGTATAGATGTAACCTTGATACCTGTGAAAGAGTACATTTCCATTACCAATGGTTTCCAGAAGAACAATGGATGCTGTAAACTTGAACTTACTCTAAAAGCTACATATACTGGATATAAATGGAAAGCTTCCTGGCAGCCATAGGAAGCAAAGTAGTTGGATTTAATTTGCTTGCATTTCATTTCAGCCCAATCACAGTTCCCAATGATTAGTTTTCTTAACTGTGTGAATTAATACGCCTAAGGATTTGCCTAGTAGAGAGACTAGACAGAAAGAAACTATAGACCTGCTGTCACTGATGAAAAATCATAAATTATTAAACACTTTTAACAAACCAGAGTCTTACTGTTTTATAAGTGTACATAGAGTCTTAAGCTAAAAATGGCTGACTGAAATAAGATGCAATTAAATTAACAGTAATACTGATAGTATTAATTATTAAAGTAATGTAAGTATATTGTGCTATGAAATATAATTATTCTTATGATATTACCATCATAGTAAATAGTAATATTCTATTTAGTAGTAACAGTAATTGAATTTTAAAAGGGAGTACTGCACCACAGAATGCTATCCAGTCTTTGAAATAATTAAATTCTGCTATTTTCAGCAGTATGAATAGAACTGGAAGACAGGGTATTAAATAATTCAAGCACAGCAAAACAAAAAGTATATATTTTCCCTTATATAAAGAAGGCAAAATGTTGCTCTCAAAGAAGTACAGAATAGAATAGTGGCTAATAGGGCTAGAGAGATGTGTGAAAAGTTGAAACACTTGTTTATTGTAAATATTAGCTAAAGATATATTAGATTTGTTTATGCTGTGGAACATTTGTTTAATGATGCAATGATGTGTTGCATTTGTTTAACTCTGTGAAGCTGTGTTACTTTGCCTGTCTAAAACACCTGATTGATCTAATAAAGAGCTGAGCGACCAATAGCTAGGCAGAAGAAAGGATAGATGGGGTTGGCAGGTGGAAAGAATGAATAGGAGGAGAAATCTGGAAAGAGAAGATTGAGGAGCAAAAGGAGAAGAGAGGGCAGACACCAGGGGGCAGCCACCCAGTCACATAGCCAACCATGAAGTAAGAAGTAAAGAAAGGTATATAGAATAGAGAAAGATAAAAGGCCAAGGGGGAAAAAATAAATGGGATAATTTAAGTTAAGAAAAGCTGGCTAGAAGCAAGTCAAGCTAAAGCTGGGCATTCATAAAAAAGAATAAGCCCCAGTATGATTTATTTGAGATCTGCGTAGTGGGCCCCCAAAGAGTAAAAAGCCACAAAAATAAAAAAGAAATATTTTGTTGCCCAGCATGGTGATCTCAAATATCACTAGGGCCTGAGAAGGCTGGGAGAAAAGGATACAGCCCCTTTAAGAAACTCTGCCTTACAGCAGAGCACTTAAACAGCATTTTTGCACTAAACAGAAAAAAAAAACCTAAGTAAAAAGTGCCTGCCACAGTTCAGGGCACTGGCATTCAATAGCTTGGGGACTGAATACAGTTCCTAGTCAAACACTCTTCCAACCAGACCTCAAGTTTTATGCTTGGCTTTCACAAACCCAGAAGTGAATGGAGCCAGCCAATAGAGTCATGCAGAGGATCCAAAGGTAGCTTAGCATTTAAAGTTTGCTCACACAGTAAAAACGACTAGAGATATGCAGTAAAAGAGATCCAGATGGGGAAAACCCCTAAACAGGTTGCAATGTGTTTAACAATCACATATGCTTCAGAAAAAAGTAATGGGTATAGACAGTCATAGAAAAAAATAGTATAACAATAATAAAGTCTTTAAAGAGAGAGTAAATATAGTATAAAAGTAATATAAAAGAAAAAACACATAAGATGGGAAACACACAGGGAGTCTGGATGTATATAATATTGTGGATTTTGGAATAGTGATGCAAATTTAAAGTTATTTTGTTACATTGTATATATGTTTCTACTCTTGTTTGGGTATTGTGCTTATACAACTCATTTAAAAATGCAATGTATAATTAAGAAATGAGGTTAGTAGTTGTCTATAATAATCAAACTTGTAGTCACATTACAAGGTTAAGTAGATACATTTAGATAGATAAATGGTCTTCAAAAACTTCAAAGACCTATAGGATATGGCATTTAAAAAGTTTTGTTAACATGGGGCTTTTCATGACAATGAGACACATCTGGCAGTACCAATTTATTTCAGAGAAGATGATGGGCACCGACGGAACTCTATATGGAGCTTCCTTTCTATGTGGCAAGGCTAGCTATTTGGGCAAGACACTGCTTTGCCTTGACTGCTGACAGTATACTTGTATAAACTGGACATGTAGAACCCACAGAAAAGTAACTAATAAACTTTGTGAAAGGCAGGACAGTCCTTAAAAATTTCTACTTCACAGGAGAGTCTGCCAGACATTCTGCAGGACACATAGGAAAGCGGCTGATGAACTTTGGCAACACAACATAGGAGGGTCCTTCAAATATCATGTTTCACTGAGAAGTCCACAAGATACTCTAGGCCTGTAGGCTGAAGATGGATGCCCCAACATTGGAGAGGAACACTGAGTGACTGTCCAGGCAGGCAGATGTCTCTGTTATTAGGTAATATTACATCCTTCTGGGGTTTGTGATGGAGTTTAAGACAAAGTAATTAGAGTTACAATTTTCCTTAGTTATGGTAGAAAGTAAATTAGCTATAAAACTTTGGAGTCACTAAGATAGGATAGATAATGGAGTATTTTCTCTAAATTTGTCAGACACAAATGGACTGGACATTGTGAATGTAATCCTTACTCAATAGCTGTTCTTATTGTATATAGTCTTACTATGTTAAAGTTAAAACCTTTTGTTTTTATTTAGACAAAAGGGAGACTTATTACTCTCTAAGAGGATTCAGGTAAAACTCCCAGCATCCACACAGTAGTTCATAACCATCTGTAACTCCAGTTCCAGGGTATTTGACGGCCTTTTTTCCATCAAGAACACCAAGCAAGCACATGGTGCACATGCATACATGCATGCAAAATACTCACACATAAAATAAGGTGAATAATCTAATAAAAAATTAAAAGAATGATAGTTAACAGATTGTGGAAAGTATAGAGATTAGGATAGTTAATTGAAATGGGATGTTGATGTATAGGAGTAATCTATTTTAGTGTTCTTCATGGCAGTGGCTACTTATGACTAACAACAACTATAATTTTGTATTTCAATATTGCTAGTAAGGGCGATTCAGAGCATTACCAACACAAAAGAAGTGATAAAAATGGCAGTCACCCTAATCTGATCATTAAACATTGTATACATGTGCTGAAATATCACACTGTATGCCACAACAATGGACAATTATATGTAAATTTAAACTATACAATTAATGAGAGAAAAATAGCTAATACTTCAAAACGGTTTGTCCTTTCAAATGTGGTAAATATTGTCCCCATTACTCAAATCATTGGCATTGTGTACCTCTTTAGATGAATTATACTCTATGACAAGGCTTTTAAATGTGATATTTTTCTGTTCAGCTGCCATAAACAATATCATAGACTGAATGTCTTAAATAAAAACAAGTTGTTGCTCACATTTCTGGAAACTAACTATAAGGGCAAGGTACAAGCAAAAAAGATTTCATTTTTGGGTCTTGACTAATGAACACCAGAAAAAGTTCTCTCTTGCATTATTTGTTAAGTCGCCAATAATATTACATTTGGCTCTCCTTATTTTTATTTACTTATTTATTTGACACAAACTTTGTGTAACCCTGGGCTAGTTTGAAACCCATGATCATCCTGCCTCAACTTCCTGAGGTTCTCGATTATAGGAACACATCTCCACACATGAATGCAGACCCCTCTTTAACCTTTCCCTCTAGAGATCTTATATGCAAACATAGTCATACTGGGGATAAGGTTTAAACTTATTTGGGGACACACAGTTCAGACAACATCAGTCTATTACTGGCCCCTAATGTTTTTGCATTAGAGGTAAACTGAAAATTTCTGCATTTTAAAATTATTCTTCATCCAATTCATTTCTCTCCTTTAGTGTTTTACTATAAGCAGTGTTGAATAACCAAGCCATTCCTTCAGCTCTTAGCTTAGAAATCTCCACAGCTAGGTTAGAGGTGGAGAGACAACTTTGTGGCAGATTGCTTGCCTAGCAAGGGTCAAATCATCAACATTACAGCAGAAAAAGGAAAGAAAACGGGATATAATGTTACTTGTATGTATATGTTTTCAGGGCTGACCAATTGACATTGGATAAACAACTGTTATGCTATTCCCTGGGGAAGCTAATTTCTCCTACTCACTAAATAGAATGAGCAGTTTGAATTTATGTATTTATGTATTTAGGAATGTGTGTGTGTGTGTGTGTGTGTGTGTGTGTGTGTGTGTGTGTAACAACAATTAATGGGAAAAGGGTATGAATTTGAAAGAGGCCAAAGAGTAGTGTATGGGACAGTTCAGAGGGAAAAGAAGGGGAAATGGTGTATTATATTATAATATACGAGATATAAGCTAGATAACCAATTTCGTTGTTCACAAATTCTGTCTTCCATAATATTATAATACAGCCTACTCATGTTCTTTGCTACTTTAGAACAGTGATCATATTTCTTCCAATTTCCAATCACTTTCTACTCGTTTCCCTTCTGAGACTTCACCAGAATGACCTTTAACACCATAATTTTTATTTTTTTAATTTTTGATTATAATATAAATACAACATGTATCCCCTTCCTTGTACCTGCAAACCCTCCCATACACCCCTCCTTCCACTCTTTCACATTCATGGCCTCTTTTTCCATTAATTGTTATTGCATGCATACATACATACATACATACATACATATCTTATTCACTCCATATAATGTCACTTGTATGTATGTTTCCAGGACTGACCACTTAGTATTGGATAACCAATTGGTGTGCTCTTCCCTATGGAAGACTATTTCTCTGATTTTCAGCATTCCTTTATTACCTACAGCTCTTGATGTAATTTTACCAACATTCTCTTCATGGCAATCTGAGGAA